GGTGGCTCAGTCAGTTAAGCGTCCCACTCTTGATTTCAGCTCAGGTCATGATCTCACAGTTCTGTGAGTTACAGCCCTGAGTAAGGCTCTGCGCTGACAACACAGAGACTGCTTGGGATTCTTCCTCTCTCTGCCCTTCCCCGGCTCACACTCTGTCTCTCCCAAAAGAAATAAACTTAAAAATAAAAACATTAATTGGGGCGCCTGGGTAGGCTCAGTTAGTTAAAGTGTCTGACTTCAGCTCAGGTCATGATCTCAACTGTTCGTGAGTTCAAGCCCCACATGGGGCTCTCTGCTGTCAGTGCCGACCCCCTTCACATCCTCTCTCTCTCAAAAAAAAACATTAATTTTTTTCAAAAGTGGTGTATAGGGATAAAAGGGAATAAATAAAATACAAGAAGAACTTCACATGTTCCCCTGATAGCTTCCCACAAGCTGAAGAGTATGTTTAACATTAACTCTGAGGTGAGGTCAAAACAAACAAAAGGAACAGAAAGAAAAAATAGAAAAGGAAGGAGGCAAGAGACATATTTAGAGAATGAATCAAGAGGACTTGTTACTATCTGGATGAGGGCGCTTCCAGAGAAGAAGGGGAGTTGGACCTTGAGACAAAAGACTTTAACAGAAATAGGGAAGCACTGAAGGAGGAACCTAAGAGGGAAACTCAAGATGGGGATCAGAGGCACGCTTCAATTCTTGGAATACTCCTCAGATTTCTCTCATTCAGATGATTACTGAGCTCAAAGACACTTTCTACATCTACTTCCTTACCTCCCATTCGTTTTTCAAACCTCTATGTCTGGCTACCACCCCCACCACTTTATGAAAACTATCTTGTTACTATCACCTACAACTTCTGGCTACTTTTCAGGCTTCATCTCTCTGTAGGGTTTCAGCAGCATGTGAAACAGATGAAAACCCTTCAAGTGCTTCTTGAAACACTCCTGGTTTCTATGTCACCGCTCTCTTCTGACGGTTTTTCAAGCTCCCCCTTCTCTATCTAGCTTCTAAATGCTGGTCCTGAGTGTCTTTTCTTACAGGGTCTTCCTAGCGTTCTCACCTGTTCCCATGGTTTTATGATCTATATGATGATGATGTCCGAATTTATTCCTGATTCTGCGGGCCACTTCCCTGAGTGGCCCATATCACTCCCCGGAGTGTCCAACTCTTATCCCAATGTTTACTGACCCGTTCAACAGTCTCTCACATGAGTCATTTACCACGTCCAAAATGTAACTCTAAATTTCCAAACCTTTTACCGAGACCTGCAAAGGCCCTGCCTACCTCAAGGGCCTCACTCACTGTTCAGGCACAATGTTGCTAGTCCTAGCGGAGGCCAGGCTCTTTTCTCCTGGCCCTTTTATCGCACCTGCTTCTTCTACCTAGAACCCGTTCCCCAGTCTCTGCTCTAAGACCTTCCTTGCATCCTCAAATGAAAGGGGCCCCTCCCCTTACTCTGCTATTCTCAATCACAGCACTCAGCCTCATGCGCAATTCATTCGTTTGTTAACTGGCTCCCCAACTAGAATACAAGCTCCAAGAGGTTGGGATCTTATCTGTTTTGTTCTTTACTGTATCTCTGCACCTGACAGAGGGTTTGGCCCAAAGGGAGCGCTCAGCGCTTACTGAATGAATGCAAAAATACATGCACGCGTACGCGAAGCGTACGGCAGGCCCAGGGAAACCACCGTTTCAACGGAGAGACACCGCGCACGGCATAAAAGCCTACAGGAAAGGTCGCCCCACACCCAGCGACCGTACGGAGGAGTGGGGATCGGCCCACGCGCTCCGGACGCCGACTGAAGCCGTGTCCTGATTGGCGGGGCACACCCCTCCCCCACTCTTCCTTCCCGCCTCTTCCTCTCGGCGCCTGCCTCTCCACCAGCAGAGCCCAAGACCAACAACTAGGCCGAGAATATCCGCACCTCCCGCTCAGTCCGCCCGCCGACCCTGCCCGCCCGGGGCACCGCTTCACGCCGACCCCTTCCAGCGGCACCCCGCACCCGCTCAACCTCACCTGGGCAGGGAGGCCCCATCTCGCTCTCCCTGTCTGGAGCTGGTTTTAAATCGCGCGCCGAGACGCTTTAACGGCGTAACGGCCGCGGTGACGTTTGCCGTGGGCGGGGCCAGAAGCGGGCCTGCGCAGGCCGCCGCATCCTCCGCCTGTAAAGGGGGTGTGCCGGGCTGTGCGCTAGTGTGCTGCTTGGAATGGCTGGTTTCCTGCTCGGTTCCTGTGAGCGCACTGTAGAGGGTCCATGGACTCCCTGAAATAGCATGAAAACTCCCTCTTTTCGAGCTTAGACGCGGAACTGGGCACTAGCCCACTAGCTGGGCTCCAGCGCAGAGCAGGACGGGCGAAGACACTGCTTTCACGCAATTCACTTTCTAACGATGGGGGCAGATTACTAGGAAACAAGGTTAATTTCTCATAGTGACCTGTTTTATGAGGGCAGCAAAACACTAAGGAGGTAGAAAGCGATGGATGGGGTATGGGACAGAGGTGAGAAGGAGCCAACAACACAATGGACGGATCGGGCAGGCGAAGGACAGGTGCGAAATGTTGTATACACAGTTTTGAATGAAGGCCATCATTTTTACTCACATTCTTGTGAAAAGCTTAATGGATATCTACACCTCCCCCCCCCCCCACTCCTACCCCTGCCACACTAAAGAAAAGGTTAAGGTCAGAAATGAGATGGGTATAATTGGCACCTATCCATTCTTCATCTGATCCCAAGAATCGTATTATGGGAGGAAAGGCCAGGGCAATTTCCCCAAATATCTCTAGAATATCCTATAATTTCTTTTTTGTTTTTTATTTATTTTGAGAGAGAGAAAGAGAATCCCAAGCAGGATCTGCACTGTCAACACGGAGCCGGACCTGGGGCTTAATCCCATGAGCTCTGAGGTCATGACCTGAGCCAAAATCAAGAGCCTAACTGGCCGAGCCACTCAGGCACCACCCTGCCCCCATTATTTCTTACAACACACATCTGGCATTTTATGCAGTGTTTCCCCTCAAGGGTGTTATTGGTATTCAGGGTGAAACAATTCTTGACACGTGGGACTCTGTAGGACTGTTCAGCAACCTCCACACCATTTGTCCGCTGAATGCCATCAGTGCCCCTCAGTCATTAAAAGTACTACCCTTTGTTGAAAACCTCTTCATAAGCCTATTTGCTTTTGCACAAATAGTGACCACCTTCAAATCTTTAGCGCAAGGCAGTGTGGAATAGAGAGAAGAACGCAGGTTTACAGTGTCTTTTAGCGAATGATTCTACCAGCCACCCAGGGACCCAAATCAGCACCCAGGAGCCATCCTGGATGCCTTACTCTCTATACACAATCTATTGTTGAACTCTTTTTACTTCCTAAAAAGCTCTTCAACTCTGCGTCTCTTTTTCATCCATATTACCTTCTTGCTGGTCTGCAGCAGCTCCACACCTGCTCGGACACCCTCCTCATTGCACCCAGGGTGGTTGTTGCTAAGTACCTGTTGCTAAGTACCGACCTGTCACTTCCCAAAGTCTCAAACCATTCAAAAGTTCCATTGCTCTGGGAACTTCTAAAGTGGTCTAGAAGGCCCTACAGGGTCTGGTCCCTGCAGCCTCTCCAGCTTCATCTTGCACCTTGCCTCCGCTTACTTCCTGCCCTCCAGACACTTGGGCCTTCCATCAGACTCTTCCCTCATCATGCCCATTCCCATAAGGCCTCTGCACGTGCCATGTGCACATGTCCTCCACATAGGATCTCAACCCCATCTTCACCCAGTTGGCACCTGTCAAGTTTCAGCTCACATCACTTCCTCAGGGAAGCCTTCCTTGATACGCTCAAGTGTCCTTACTGGAAGTTTTAGTGGAACTTGTCACCTTTGAAATTTCACATCCGCTGGTGTGACTATTTCATGTCTATCTCCTCCACAGGTTGTCAGTTCCATGAGGATGGAAGCCATTGTTTTCCCAGGGCCCGGTGCTAGCCCCGGACACAGCAAGTGCTTGAATATGTATTGAATGTGTGAAGTGGGAAGACAAGCTTAAATCCTCGGTTGGGCATGTGAACCTCTCTGGGCCTCATTTTCTTCTGTTTATAAAACATTGAAGATAATACCCCTTCACTGGACTGCTTGGGGCTCCCTGTGCTGGGAGGGAGAGCCAGCTCCACCCCCTGGAGGGTCATTCACCTCCAGATCTGAATGCCGTCTTTGTTTCTCGAGGGGTTAGTTGGGTGGAGGGTGCCAAAAGATTGAATGATTTATCAGTGGTTTGAGTGGTATGCAAAACTCAATTGCTCTGCACACACCCCAAGTAGTGCCTCCCGCCCCCACTCCTGGTCTGCCAGAAAAGCAGTACTGGGGCCATTCCCCTTCCCCATTTCACTCCTTACCAAGATCTACTTCCCCAAAATGAATGGCAAAAACCTTTAGGTGAGGAACGATACTGTTATCGGTTGGCGACCTGAACAATCTTTCGGCTTCAAATTGGCCCTGACCTTCCATCCTGCAGCTGGCTTGTATCATAATGTAGTTCATGATATAAACAAGTCACTGGGGCTCAACAGGCATGTAGTGCAAATGGCTTTACATTCATTTTGGCCTCTGAGCAAATGCCTTTAATTTTTGTATGTGATACGAAACTCCTGACCTAAAGACTGGGCTAAGGACCAACAATTTCTGTCTTCTAGAATTTCTAAACAACATACCACCCTTTATCTTAATGTAGTGCTTTTAGCTTTTCAAAGCATGTTAACTCCTACATCTTGATATTCCCAAGACCATGCTGGAAGGTTGCTAGGACATGCACTTTCCTCCAGGCTCTGCCTTTTTCTAGCTATGTGACCTTGGGGAAGTTGTGTACCATTTCTTTTTCTTTTTTAAATTTATTTTGAGAGAGACAGAGACAGCGCGAGTTGGGGAGGGACAGAGAGAGAATCCCAAGCAAGCTCCCCACTCTCAGCACAGAGCCCAATGCAGAGTTCAAACCCAGGAACTGTGAGATCATGACCTGAACCGAAACCAAGAGTCGGACGCTTAACCGACTGAGCCACCCAGGCGCCCCAGTGTGTACCATTTCTGTGCCTCAGTTTCCTCATAGGTAAAATGGAAGGGATAAAGCCCTCACTTCATGGTGTTATAGTGTGAGGACTAAATGAGTTACCTCACTTAGAGGTAACTTAGCATTAAGAACAGTGCCTGGACCATTGGCAATGCTCAATGAACGTGAAGTATAACCATTACTAGAACTCCTGTTGTATCCTGGGTGCCGGCCAGGAATTGTTTTAGAATAAAGCTCAGCTTCCTCAATTATCTAGAGAAGTTTCCCCTTTCATTGTAAGAGTATTCCCAGAGCACAACAGCTCTGTTCTTTCCATTACTACTTGTTTTTTCTATACTTGTTCTTAACACCCTCTGCCCCACCCAAGCTTCGCTGACTGTTCCCTTTGTTGTCTTCTGTTCGCTCCTGTTTTCTTACCTCTTACTAGACTGGAAACCACAGAGCTCTAGAACATCATACTACCTTTCAACTTGACAGATTTGTGCCTCCTACAGCTTCTCAATGTTGTTTGTAGTCTTTTAAATTGGCTGATATTTTGGTCTGGGCACCATGAAAATGAATCACATTCTGAATTATTCTTTCCTGGCTACTGGCCATGCCACTGGGAAACCTCAGGGCAGACTGGTTCAAGGTGCATTGAGAAATAGCAGGATGTACTGGATGAAGCTATCAGGAGAACATGAACATCTTGGGAACAGGCATGTGAGAATACTGGTCTTCTGTGTGTGTTATTATGTAGATTCCAACTGACACACAAAATAACTTCCTTTATTGATTCAGAACTAAAACATCAACAAATTGTTTTCTAAACAAAAAGAATATGGATGTTTCTAAAACATCAAAATCCCAACGAGCATGGAACCAACCATCACTGCATCTTAGCTTGAAAGCAGTACCTGGCAGGTGTCAGCAGATAACACGGGAGCACAGCCATTAATGTGTGGTAGGAGCCTCAAATATTGACTCGCATCAGGTTCTGGGACATAAATTTGTAATTTAATTTTGCCATGGGAGGGGTGTGGATACAGCAAAAGCCCACAAGGCCAGCATCTAAACCCCCCTGTGATCGAGTTAAACGTGCGGCCAGGTTCTTCTCCCTAGATCTTCCTGGCATGCAGGGAAGGAACAGCATTGTTATTTCCAAAACAACCACACCCACAACTACAGTCACTTTTCTTAAGCCTCCTCATCAGGATGCCCAGGTTTTTGAAAGAAGGGAAAAATCCACAAATCGTATCTTCAGAATCACGACTTTGTTGGAGCTGGACTGCTCCACAGTCCCTTCCTGTCCGACCCTGGCAACGGGCCTGGATTGTGATGATCCTGCTTTGCAAAACCGCAAACATAGTTCAAAAAACTCCCTTTGTCATCTTTGAAAAGAGAATACAAAGGCATTAACAGACTGAGAAAAAGCACGGCTACACATGGGGGTTAAACCTTTTCATTTGACAAAACAAATGGCTCCCTTTAGAAACACTAATTGTTCATCTCAGAGCCACCCGCCCCCCACCCCGCCAAAAAAAAGACTGTCCTCTGTAAGGGTTTTATAACATTGGTTCCAGGCTTGAGAGGCTTGTTAGATGCTGGCTATGTCATTAATTTTAGTAAATACACTAAATTTACTAAATTTACACAATTATGAAATAGATCACCATTGACTTAATATTTGTGAATCAGTGCTAATGAATTCTTTGGCTAGTAGTGGGAGTTTTCTTTCAGATTCATAAAAACAGCTGTATTATATTCTACTTCATATATTATATGAAAATAGGGCTAAATTAAGAAAAAGGAAAACAAACATCTTGGTTATATCTTCAAATAGAGAAGGTCTGAAAAATTAGATCCTAACATACGAGCAATTGCCTTCACAGGTATTTAGGATAAAATGATGCGCTGTCAGCTTGGATGTGAATTAAACTAACAGTTCAACCAGGAAACCAGGTTGCAAGGAATGTTGCTGGGAGTCATTCACAAAAAGGAATAAGCTGCGACGGAGGTATTCTCTGGTTCTCTTTCACTTCCAGTGTTGATACAAAACACAACTTCACAGGCCGCCTCTGGATTTCAACTCTAGCTGCAAGATCCTCCTATAACACCTGTTTCCCTGGGCCCTCTTTGGGTCATCCTAAAAGGCGGAAGAAAACCTCAGAAGACACACTGTAGATCAGACCCTACAGGCTGGACCCCATCCTTATGAGCACTTCGGGTACCCCGTAAAGTGTCTTCACCTATCATAGCCCCCCCACTGGCAAGGTAAACATCACACATACCACTGACGTGTCCTGAAAAATAAACTCTTTGGCAGCCTGAGGAATCAGAAATACCTTCTCCCCTTTTTTAATGGCCTTTACATTAATGTGCCCCAGCCAATGGGGCACAGGGCAGCGTTTTCACTTGGGTCAGAAGGTTGTGGAATTCTTCCACTGCCTGTGAGTGTGCCATGGGGTTTAGCACTAGGTGTTGGAAGAGATTGACAGGCTCGGCATTCCGAAATGTCTTAGGGATCGGGATGGTCAGGGGCAGGAAGGTGTTACCAATGAGGAAATGATGGAGGGACCGTTGCTGGAGGCCACGGCCCAAGAACCAGAGGATGTCCTGGAGCCGCTGGGAGAGCATGCTGTGCTGCCAGTCTGTTAGGGGCAGCCGCAGCAACAGGTGCATGAGGGCCGTTTTGAAGTGGTAAGAGGTGAGGATAGGACGAGATGCTCCCTGGGGTAAGCTCTGAAGGTCCCGGAGACTTAAAATGATCTGGAGGCACTTGAGGTGGCAGGTGTTCTCCGGAGCAAAACGCCCTACCAGCTTCAGGAACAAGTGTTCACAGGCTGCAAAGGACTCAGGCCAGTCCACACTGGTGAGCTGTTCCTGGTCAGGAGCCTGACTCACCAAGTAGACCAACGTGTCTTCCCTTTGCACCCCCAGAACCAAGTGGATCGAGAGAAAGCGGCCTGAGCGGTAGTCCAGCCTGAGCTTGCAGGAGGTGGTAGACGGTGGGAGGCTGAGCTTAAAGTCATACTTGTGGGCCACAAGGGCCCAGGCATTGCCCATCATGTTCCGGAACCACTGTACTGTCTTGCACACGTCCAGGTGGGAGCCAGTGCAGAGAGCCACCTTGATGGTGCTGCTACACTTGCTTAGGAGAGCCGAGTGATCCCTGTGGTGGTGCACCAGGCACAGCACGTCCCCCAGAATCTTCTCACGCTTGCACACACATTCCGACTCCACCAGCACAGAGCCACAGCGGCGGCCTAGGGTCGGATCCCTCATCTCCAGCACAAACATAGTGCCCTGCGGAGGGACAATGGGCACCAGGATATCAAATTTCTGAGTCTCGTGAAGGGTTCCCCATTTCTCAAAGGCAGCCCCGATGCCCAGGCAGTCCTCCAGCTGTGGGTGAGCCTCCCGGCGGCTGAGCACCCGACAGGCCTCAATGAGGTCATCCACAAAGCTCTCTACGAATTCGCAGGTGCAGGACAGATCACGGGTGACATTCTGGACGTAGTGTTTGTAAAAGGATTCCAGGGCCTCCCTCGAGGGGAAGTCAGTAAGCCAGTTATAGGAGGTGACGGGCACAACACGGACTTCCTCCTCCTCCTCATCGCTGCTGGAATCAAAGGCCGGCTCATGCTGCATGTTCTGTCGCAGGAGCTCAAAGACGAGAAAAAGGCAGAAGAGGCCAGCATTCCACAGGTTTCCCAGCAGCCAGCCCAGTGGCCCCTCCTGGCCATCAGCCTGGAATGGCCACCCCATGTCTTGCTTCCCCAACACTAACTGGTCACTGGATGTGTCTCCTCTCCAGAAGTTCTCTGCCTTCTGCTTCTGCTCAGCTGCCCGCTTTCTCTCTTCAAACTCTAGCTCCAACTGGCGCATCTCCTCGCTCATCCGCTTCTCCAGCTGCCGACTTCTGGCTAGTGTGTCCAGGTCCATCCGGTCGCTGACCATCAAGGGGTGGTGAACAACATACATCACTGCCAGGAACAGAAGGCTTATCACAGCCATGGAGGCCTCTGCATCTGGAGAAGTTAGGAGGGTGGGAGTCAGTGGTGATCTTCGGGATTCATCTGCTCTCCAGTGCGTACTCCCCAGAGCCCTGGAACCCCAAATCCTGGAAGGTACTCAGGACAAACAGAAAGCTCACAGAGCTGGGCATGGACAGAGCAAGGGTCTGCCCAGGAGGTGGTGTGGGAGAAATGGGGTCAGCAAGATGTGCCACTCAGTCTTTCTGCTTTCCTTCCACATGGTGTGGGTGGTATTTAGGCTTCCAGAGTATGGACCCAGGACTGTTTTCATTCCTGTGTAGAATACGGAGGGGGACCCTGTGGTAGGGTGGCCTCACCCGACTCATCAGTCCACCGTGGGCACCAGGAATGCACCGTGCCCTGCTGATCCCAGAGGGCCTTCCACTGGCAGAAAGTACTGATCTTCCTGGGCAACACCTTTCCTCTTGCCAGGCAGCCAACCCCAGGCCCCCAGCTGTAGCATCCCACCTCTGTGACTTCACAATCCTCATTCTGCTCACCCTGTGTCATCAGACCACTCAGCCTCTCCTCCCTCGTGCCCAGTGGGGCAATTGCCAGTGGGCACCAGGGAGGCACAGTCCTGCCATCCTCCTCTCCACTGATTCCTGCTGTGCTCTCTCTCTGAGGTCCTAAGGCTTATTATGCTGTATGCCCCTTCTTCGATGGGCCAGACGCAGAGGCAGGGAAGGCTCCACCTCTCAGCCCAGGAAAGTTCATGAAGAACCAGCTGCCCAAAGCCACTTGACAGTCAGCAGTCATCGGATCCTCTGCCTCCCCACCCACCACGAGGCCGGAAGCTTCTTGCATTCACCCCCACAAATTACTGGGCTTACCGAGATTACGAGATTACGAAGGACTATGCCGTGTGGGCGCTGAAGCCAGGTGGAGGGACTCTCCTCCCTTTGGAACTTGGCCTTGCTTAGTCTCACTGCCAGCTCCAGGAGCTCTGTTAAAATTTACAAGGTACGGGGCTGGGCTGTGGTTCAAAGCAGGGTGCCCCCTCCCATTCATAACTTCCCCAAATTCCACGCCCAGAGATCTCTATTCCCATCCGCCCACCCTTCTGGGGGTTTCTCCCAGGACTTGGGGCTAGGTTACTCACCGTCGGTGTTAGCGGGAACACGGTCTTAAAAGAGACAGTGCGGCCTGACCGCCCCCGCCTTTTTCCCGGCGGGGTGGGAGCTCCGTGTGCCTCGCCGGGGCTGCCCGGGGGAGTAGCCCCACTCTCCTCTCCCGGGGAACGCACCATCTTGTCCGAGGGCCCGATTGCCAGTGCGCGGCCCGCCTGGGAGACCCCACAGCGCCGGGCGCCGCTCTGTGGGCGCGGGCCCCGCACCGCGGATCCCGCCGTCCAGGCTCCGCCCCTCCCAAGCTCCTCCTACCCCAACCCCACTGCCCAGCGCGCAGCGGGAGCGCCGCCCTGGGGCCCCGGTGGCCCTGATCGCGTACGCTCGCCTTCCGTCCGCCGCTCCGACTCCGGCGGGGTCGTGTGCAGAGCGGAGGGGTTGCGGTCTCGGACTCACAGCCAAGGGGCGCACACGCCCCTGGGGGTGGTGCCAGGGGCAACTGCAGTGCCGGTTGCCGGCTTCACGCAGCTCGGTTCGCCGAGGATATACTTACTGGGAATTTAGAACGCACCGTACATGTACAGCGAAGAGGATCGTGGCATGACTAGGAATTGACGGGTGGGGGGGACAGTGCGCCTCATTCCCTCTTCGGGCTCGTCCTGCGCAAAACGGCACAAGAGCTGAGGTGTGTCGACAAGGTCCATAAGGTGCCTCTCACCCCCAGCCCACGCCCAGGCTCAGGTGTCTTTCCCCACCTCCTTTCTCCTATGGAGGTGGTTGTCATTAAAGGACCAGACAGAACGCAAAGACCTGGCTTGAGGCCTTACTTGTCACTCACTACGTAGGAGTAAGAATCCTAAACCTCCGGGGTAGCTCTGTTGATGAGATGGCGTATAAAGGAAAACTTCATGAAGTGTGGAAACTGGACAAGATTTATAATACACTAAGATATCCCAACAGAAGGGATTTCCCAGAGAGGCTGAAGAACCCCCAGCCTTCCTGTCCTGCGTCAGCTAACCAAGGAGAAAAGGAAGTGGTATCTTTCCATGCTTATTAACCAAAGTCCTTCTTCCGGAAGACAGTCAAGTTTCAGGCCTCCTTATCCAGTGGCAATGTAGAAGTGGCCCCAAACAACTTGGACAGTGCTTCCAAAAAACACTTATTTCCCTGTGGAGGAGGAAAGACTGTCTTCTGGCTGACCATGACTGAAGTTCCAAAGTTAATTTTTATGAACTTGAGGGCTACTACCAGTAAGCATTAGTGCTATCAGGCAGTGACAATGAAATTTTCTATTATTTTTTTATGACAACGTTGGGATGAAAAAAATACATTTCAGGGTGTGCGAAACAATGGTGTTTAAAGCCACATGTTTAATAAAAATGTGTCATGATCAAATAAGGGTTTGTTTCAAAAGTGATTGTCATGTCAGAAGACATTTGCTCGTTCGTGCTCATGAAGTTGGTTGCTATAGCAGATAAACTCCAAGCTGGAGAAATATTCATCCATGTAAATATCACACTTAAAGCAGCAAGAAGCCCTCTAGCAGTGAACATTTCTTGGCCTGTTTTTGGTGATTTTTCTTCTTCAGCATAATGTGAAGTGATTGCTGGCTTAGTGGGATTAAAAGAAAATCGAGTCACTTGGACACCTTGGCATTGATGCTAATTGGTGATTGTACACAAATGACATGAGGAAACTGGCAGTGGCCACTCATTTTAACAATTGAATTCCACTGTGGTGGGATTGACCCTTGTCAAGGAAGGAAACATGGTAGTTTCCCCCCCAAATAGTTTTATTTTTATCATTGGAAAATAAGACCTAGAACATAAGTACCTTCATAACCTATGTACGATTCTGCCTCTTGGCCTGCAAAACCTAAAATGTGTTTGAGACTATTAGTGTTTTTGGGGGCACCTGGCTGGCTCAGTTGGAGAAGTATGTGACTCTTGATCTCAGGGTCATGAGTTCGAGCCCCACATTGGGTGCAGGGATAACTTAAATAAACAAAAGTAAAAAATAAAGACTATTAGTGTTTTGGTGAGAAGAGTTGCTCAAAGAATTGAGAATGTGGGTAGAAACATCAATAATCAATTTAGGGGCTCCTGGGTGGTTCAGTCAGTTAAGCGTCCAACTCGTGATCTCAGCTCAGGTCTTGATCCCAGGGTCATGAGTTTGAGCCCCGTGTTGGGCTCTGTGCTGGGCATGAAGCCTACTTTAAAAAGAAAAAAAAAAAGAAATCAATTTAAAAAACAGGTCACATGATTCCGAGTGATTTATGGTGCTGGGCATGAAGCCTACTTAAAAAAAAAAGAAATCAATTTAAAAACAGGTCACATGATTCTGAGTGATTTTTCTTTGGCTTGATGAATCGGCAAATGTTACTAATACTGCTCAGTTATTGCTGTTTTTTGTTGTTGTTGTTGTTTGTTTGTTTTTGAGAGAGAGAGAGAGAGAATCCCAGCAGGGGCAGTCCCAAGATGGGCAGAGAGAGAAGTGGAGCTTAGCTGAAACGGGGCTCATGTTTTACCTGAAGGCAGACTCGTGTTCACCAGATGCGGGGCTTGAACTCACAAACCATGAGATCATGACTTGAACGGAAGTCAGATGCTCAACAGCTGAGGCACCCAGGCGCCTGAGTTGCTGCTGTTTATTCAGGAAGCCAATGCAGAGTTTGCAATTACTGAAGAATTAGACTTTATGAATTGTCTGCATGGAACAACCAGGAATATTTCTTAAAAAAATTTTTTTTTAATCGCTATTTATTTTTGAGAGAGAGAGAGGAGAGACAGAGTGCGACTGGGGGAGGAATGGAGAAAGAGGGAGACACAGGATCTGAAGCAGGCTCCAGGCTCTGAGCTGTCAGCACAGAGCCCGATGCCTGGCTCAAACTCATGAACTGTGAGATCATGACCTGAGCTGAAGTTGGACGCTTAACCAACTGAGCCACCCAGGTGCCCCAAGAATATTTCAAAGCTGAGAAAACACTAATTCAGTACAACCTGACGTGGAATCTGTTAATATATGTTACAACCGATGGTAATAAAAAAAACACGGAACAGAAAAAGGCTTAGATAGGCAAATTTACAAAGCTTGCGAAAATGTCAGGTGTTTGAAGCCTATGGTTATTCGTCATATTATTCATTGGCAGGTACTTTGTGGAAAATATTTGACTCTGTCATGTATTTGTGAACCACTAGTGTCAATGGTAAACTTTGTTCATTCTCATGGACTTAAAAATCGTCAGTTCTGGGAAGTTCCATCAGAAATAGATACTGAGTATCTTGACTTGCCCTACCATCATTATCAGTTTACAATCTTTTCGAGCTTGGGGATGAGATTAAAATTTTTCTAAACAAGGGGCACCTGGGTGGCTCAGTCGGCTTAAGCATCCAACTTTGGCTCAGGTCATGATCTCACAGTTGGTGGGTTCAAGCCCTGCATCAGGCTCCCTGCTGACAGTGCAGAGCCTGCTTAGGATTCTCTTTCTCCCTCTCTCTCTGCCCCTCCCCTGCTCATGTTTTTTTTTTTTTTTTTCTCTCTCTCTCAAAATAAACTTAAAAAAATGTAAAACACATTTTTTTCTAAACAAGAACTGCCCTCAGCTAGTCTTATCAAACACTGAACGACTTTGGAAATCAGCTTTTTGTTGTAGATTTGAGACTGTTTCTTAATGAAGTCAACATAAATTTACAAGTCAAAATGGCATTTACATATGAAATTTATTCTCGGACCAAATCATTTTAACAAACAGTCACAAGTAATACCAAGCTGCTTTTTACACTTCCAGCGCTGTCAAAAGATTAAACAAGAAGCAAGATGTCCATTCCTACCTAAATTTGTAGCAGATATATTTTCTGAGCTCAAACTACAGTTCCAGCAGAGTTAGTCAGACATCAGTGCAAGTGGAAAGAATACTTCTATATTTCAAAATCCATTTAACTTTGCAATTGAGGATC